TTAACAAAACAGAATCAAGATAGACTACCGGTGTTTAAAAACCGTTATCTACACAGCACTGTACGAATCTGGTGGGGCGACCGCATAACCAATGCTGAGATTAGGTTGAGAGTTTATGTAACTGCGGTCTACCTCCATCGGCTACTTTGGTTCAGCCGTGTTATGCATTTCGCCAAATCGGCCTACAACGGCGAGCGATGTTTGCCGGGGCTGGTAGCGAGTGGACAAAAGTAAAGGATCGTAAAATCAAGACCTGTCACGACGATATGAAAACCCTAACCAAGGGATTCCGTCATATAGCTCGCGTTCGGCTCCCTGTATAGGGACCTCAGGGTCTTTGCAATCAATGGTTAGATACACTGAGTAATATGGTCGAGTTTCGTAATCAGTGTTTTTCATGCATTTTCTAAATTTCTTTGCAACCTTATTTCACTGAAATTTGTCATTTTCTATTCGATTCTGCTTTCAACTTTGCTGCCTTATCCCAATGGGCAGCCAGTAAACAGCAACTCAAACCGTCGCACAGAATTGCATGGTTATTAGTTGCATTTAACTGAAACTATCGGGTTTCCTGAGGTTAAACATATCCGATACGAAAATCCATCATAAAAGAATCGGGATGGTTTCTGCGGTTGTTCTGTCTCGAGATAACTCCTCGACTCTTAAGTGGGGTATATGGGCCTTAAGTACGAGTAAAATGTACGGTTCCATTTTTTCATTTCTGTGGGTGACATTTTCGAGGCATTTATTCTTCTACTACTAAAATCCATCAAGTAACATACTTAGTTGTAAGGCATTGCTCGCTGAATCGTGGTGGTCTACTACGTAGCCGAGATTAATCAGAGTCCGTTTTCTGTAGCTAAACGAAAGTATTACACATGCAATATCTGAGTCAGATGCACGCCAAGGCATGCAATGTTCATATACAATCAACCATTCCGAGTAGTCTGATCATCACGTAAAACTGATCACGGTGCTTGTTCTAGTCACCCGCTTGGGGGATATACATTGTTGACAACTCCTAACTAGGATAGTTGTACAAGGGTGGGTGCTACCCGATGGCATTACGTATTTAATGACCTTTTATACTCCTACTATTTCCTTGAATCCCCTGTAGTTATTACACATCAGTTTGCTTCTCATCTTCCAGTTTTGGGAATAATATGGACATCTCTCAGTGTTTTAGTGCTTTCATACGGAGGAAAATAATGTGCATAGTCGGTTCATTGACATTGGGGCTACCGGTTTTTTGGGGGTCTGTGATGTAGGGCTGTCTTCTGTTTCAGATCTGTTACTTTTTTAGTTCCCTCTTCTACATGTAGGATTTCGCCCTTGTTCGGAGCTTTGTGGTTGATGTCTCGTCTCACATAAGTCAACTCAATCGGGAGTGTTCGGCGACATGCAAAATGCTTCAACAAACAAATCAAGGCGTCCATTGTGTTGCATTCTACTGCTCTCTAAGTAAACTTCCCTGACATTTTGTTTCAGGAATGCACTGCGAATAGACCAAAACACATTACCTTCATAGTCATTGTGGGATGTTATTCGTATGTTTACCGCGACATATGCAATATAGATTTACCATTTATCCTGGTTGAGCTCATTGCCTCACGTCCTCCTGCACTCTTCGACGCTGTCATTTAAGCGAGTATTTATTACTCTTGTGGAACCCTGTGGTCTTTCCTGTGTTATGGTATGAAATGTTATGTGGCTCGTTAATAAGGTTCTCACTGAGCTCATCTCATTGCGTCTTATTGTAAGTCCGTGATGATCACTTCTCGAAATCTCAGCCTTGTTGGTGGTCAGGTTGAAATTAAAGATTTGTGCCATGCCTTGCTATTCTCTTGAAGTTGTAAGCCAGCTATTTGAAAAGCCTCTGCGGCCCGAATACGGGTATGGGTCATCTCGTCAGCACCGGACAAAGCTTTTGATGTTGTGTATCGCATCGATCGAAGGCTGCCCGAATTTGGACACTATCCATGGCTGAGGCAATCACCATTCGCTTACTGGGCCCCAACCTATGCGTCCAAAGAAGACTGGTTCAAGCGCTTCAAATGCCTTGGCCGGGTGTGTAAAGCAAAACAGAACACGTGTCACTTGACCCAAGTGGGAAAAGGTCAAATAAACTAACAATAAACCTTCTTACACATACACCGAAACACACATTTTCTACTCTCTATCTCCTATCAGTGACCTTGAATTGAGCTAATGGCTATCATTACGCAAGCATTTTTTCACTGTATGGTATGTAATAGCATGACTAGGAATATCCGAAAACAATTGTTTGCTCAACGATTAGTTTTCTCAATGCTATCATGAGAATATTCCAATTTTTGGAATACGGGTATACTTGGAAACGAACGCACAAGAGAACGTGATCGGCAATTTCGTTATCCCCGGGCTTCACCGCCACCATACACCGTGCAATCTTCAACTGAGAATGACCATCATGATCGCACCAAAACAACGTGGTTTTGATGTGCAAGACGATCGTCTTTTGAGTACCATGTGTACATGTATTCCTAATGGTACTTGGTTTTGAAGGAACTTGAGATTCCAAAAAGTGGAACGATCGCATCTAAAATTCAATACCAACAGCAATATTGTCCCGGAAATCTTTTTTTAATATCTCACCGATCGCATTCTGCAATTGACAAAATATGATTGTTTGATAAGAATAAAAATACTACTGTGTAGTAAAGTGTTCACTTTTGTCTAGGCGAATATCTGTTTTTAGCAAAAACCTATGCTTTATTTCCGGAGAAGCTAAGGAACAATAAAAGATTTCAAAAGTTGTCGATAAATTCACTAGACTACTACGTTAAATTTGTAGGGATTCGAGCCAAATAATAAATAATGGAATTTGCGTAATGCGAGGTGTGCGAAACGTGCTGAAATCTGAGAGTAACCCTTGAGTAAGTCCTAATATAGAGGATGAGTTTTATTGGAAAGGATTTTCTGTGCAAATTTTTTCTCATGCGGTCAAGTGTAGTTTACATTGCTTAGTAGATACCTTATTAAGAATAAAGAGCTACATACGACTGATACTGGCCAGTCCACAGAGAAAAATTGTAAAATCTCATTCGAGAAGATCGAGAAAACCCAAGCAGAATGGGGGAGGGGGACAAAATCGATAGGCAAAATGGGTTTATTTCTTTCCGGGCGATGAGTTGCCTCAATCCATGTTTTCGAAAAGAAATTTCTGCACACAGTTGTAAATATGACGATTCTATCTTGGGTTTGTGTCGATGGTAGACCAAATAATAATTGGTCTCTGTTGTGACGTAACTAGATTCTACTGACTCTTCTTTTTAAAGACGGGATTGATTGATTGATAGATATGGAATCGATTCTTCGGTCTTCCATCATGTTCGCACGACTAATTGTTAGTTGAAAGCTATCTCGCCTAATATGGTTTATTGACAGTTCCTCTGATTTGAGAGAAACATATTCGATCGCACAGTCAACCAGGGATTATCTTTGCATGATTCGAACCGCTTATGATGTTTCATCAACTTCGAAGCTTCTTGAGTTTCCATATTCTGGCCAGTGAAACAACTTCACACCTCATGACAGCGATTTTCGGAGGTCAAAGGCTACTTGTTCGCCTAACAGTATCGTAGATCACGATCACTTTGTATCGGCTGATGTGAAGGATCGACCAGAACTAAAGCATGAATTTCAAAAAGTCCAGTCCTCTTTATTTACATGAGAGTAGTGAAGGATTTGTTTCAATTCCATGGGACAATTCCTGGTGTACTGAGCAAATGAAAACTAGCAAGCACTATATAG